CGAGTACCCTAACCACCTGGCCATGCCGGGCCAAATGGAAGGCAAACAGTCCACGACACCCATTGCCAGCTATTGGACTACTTTTGTCACATAGAATAGTGGCATTTGACCGTCACCTTTATAACGCACCAATAGCCCCAAAGTGCGGAACATGATTAATTTTTGGCTGTAATTGGAGGATATACACGGAACATCAGATCAATAGTCCAGCTTCCAAAACTTATTAATTGGAACTCGCAGCCTGAACACCATCATTTGCGCATGTAGGCTAAACGGCCAGGTAGACACACACGCGCATGTAGGCTAAACGACCAGGTAGACACACACACACATTAGGGTGTAGCCATCCCTTATTTTGAATTGCTGCTATGGGAAATTATGGCATACGTCAAGAAAAGGGCTTTGTCCGGCTTCTTGGTTGACTTTCAGAGCTGAAAGTGCTCAGCGGCCTCACGTCTCGAACCCTAGACCTTTCGATCGAAATCTAACACATTAGCCATTACCAATAGAGAATATTTCCAACTTTAATAATTAATAGAGAAAACTGCATGTTGTAATGAATTATAGCTTTCATTTTTAAAGAATAAAAACTTTCGCGGGAATATTTTTAGCTTTAAGCCCAAATCACCGAACCACACGTAGAAAGTCTACGAACTAAGTCAAGTCTCTACTTTGTTGTGGTGTTAACAAATAGCTAGCTATCTGTTGTTGTTTTTGTCTTTTTTTTTTTTTTTAGGAAGAGTACCGTAATTCTCACAGACATTACTTGTAAACTTTATCATTACTCATCTAATAAACTATTATAATAAATATTTCCAATGGTTAACATACACCTCCGTATAAAGCACCAATGTTCCTACTTTTCTCACGTTTTTCAGAAAATGAAATATCAACATACTAACTATATAACGATGTATTCCTTTTAGGGTTTTGACAGCGTAACAAAAGACCCGCAAGTGTTTCAACTATTTTTCTTTCTTTTTTAAGACAACTAAAGAGTCTGAAGAACTGGACATCGACCTTAATGACACTGACCTCACCAAGGCGGCCACTAAAATCCAGGCATCTTTTCGTGGCCATAAAGTGAGGAAAGAAATGAAGCACCAAGACGAAGACAACAAAGAACCCATCTCGAATGAGAATCAGTCTGTGTGTAGCTATTTTGTTCTGGAATTATTGTGCAATACATTAAATAAACTACTATTAATTTGTAGACCGCTACGTATTAAAAGAGAATAATACATACGGAGTAATCAGTATTACTGTTAGGTAAATACAAGCTGACACCGTAAAGCACCAAACTAACTTTAATAAAATAGACTTTTTAACCATTGTTGATACACTGATTTATCTTGATAAAAAATACTTCGTCCAGTCCAGCATAGTTTCAGGTGAAATCATTAATTTGGCATATTATAGTTGTAACAAAACAGCTTAATAATACAAGAACTTGGTCATTTTCAGCTACTCAGGTGTATATAAGTTATAACAACTATTGTCAGCGACTCAGGTGTATATAAGTTATAACAACTATTGTCAGCTACTCAGGTGCATTTAATTTATAACAACTATTGTCAGCTACTCAGGTGTATTTAATTTATAACAACTATTGTCAGCTACTCAGGTGTATTTAATTTATAACAACTATTTTCAGCTACTCAGGTGTATTTAATTTATAACAACTATTGTCAGCTACACAGGTGTATTTAATTTATAACAACTATTGTCAGCTACTCAGGTGTATTTAATTTATAACAACTATTTTCAGCTACTCAGGTGTATTTAATTTATAACAACTATTGTCAGCTACTCAGGTGTATATAAGTTATAACAACTATTGTCAGCTACTCAGGTGTATTTAATTTATAACGACTATTTGCAGTTACTCAGGTGTATTTAATTTATAACAACTATTTTCAGCTACTCAGGTGTATTTAATTTATAACGACTATTTGCAGTTACTCAGGTGTATTTAATTTATAACAACTTTACCGGTAGTTTGTTTGTTGTTAAGCACAAAGCTACGCAATGGGTTATCTGTACTGTGCCCACTACGAGTATTGAAACCCAGTTTATTGCGGTGTAAGCCTTCAGACTTTCGCTGAGCCATTGATATATTAAAACAAAACTGTAAAAATAAATTAGTTTTTTTAATGTGCCATTTTAAGCTGATCTTGAATGATAAAAGTATTGGTTGGTTTCTTTAGATGGGCGAAGAAGTGGATCTAAATGATCCCGAGTTGTTGAAGGCAGCAACGAAGATCCAAGCAACCTTTCGTGGTTACCAATCACGAAAACAAGATAAGGACGAACGTAAGTATTGAAAGAGGTTTCGTCAAATAGTTTCCAGTGAATTACCTCTTGGAGACGACGTTTCGGACTCTGGGATCAGTTCTAAGACAGCAGATAGTCCTAAACGTCGTCTCCATAACCAAACAGACGACAGGATCAGCCCATAGAAACATATTCAACATGTCAAAACCCTGTATGAAAGTTTATTAAAAGAAACGACCTCTTTGCAAAACTAGGTGAGGATTCTGTGTGCTCACGATATCCAATCATTTATTAGAAATTTTCTCAAGAGTGTCGTCTAATTATATACTAAAATACTCTAAGCCTAATTATTTCTTCGTCAACAGATTTAAAATAAATCTTTTCTTCGTTAAAGAAAACCAGCTAGTTCTTATACAAACATCTAAATATCACATTAAGTACAAAATAGTTTATTTTGTTTGTCTGGAAAATGCATAATTATTTGTTTGATATTAAGCACAGAGCTATACAGAGGGTGTTACACAAAATTAAAATATAATTAAATATTATAATTGCGTACAGAAAGAATAAGCTACGTCATATCACTTGAATATTTTTAGTTTGTTGTTATGCACAATATTCACTTGAATATTTTTGTTTGTTGTTATGCACAATATTCACTTGAATATTTTTTTTGTTGTTATGCACAATATTCACTTGAATATTTTTTGTTTGTTGTTATGCACAATATTCACTTGAATATTTTTAGTTTGTTGTTATGCACAATATTCACTTGAATATTTTTAGTTTGTTGTTATGCACAATATTCACTTGAATATTTTTTGTTTCTTGTTATGCACAATATTCACTTGAATATTTT